TGAACATTTGAATGGATGATTGTTAGCTGGATAGTTAACATACAGTGCTTTGGGATCTCTACGCTTGTATAGTATGTGTGTGTGTGTGTGTGTGTGTGTGTGTGTTTGTTTTTGTGTTGTGTTTATGTATGTGTGCGTGTTTGTATGCCTGCGTGTGTTTGTTGTTTTTTAGCAGTGCTGTGCTGTGCTGTGCTGTGCTGTGCTGTGATGTGCTGTGTACTATGCTATGAGAAGAGCTCCCCCGAAAAAAACGAAGTACGGCACAACTAAGCAGAGCGAAGCAAACACAGCAGCAAGTTTAACGAAAACTGGCTTAAAAGTAAAAGCATTAAACGTCGGTCTCGGACGGCAACCGCACTGCAGCCACCACCACCAGCACTACTGCCACTACCACCATCGCCATCGCCATCATCATCGTCATCATCATCATCATAATCACTTACTTTTTTAAAATTCACTTGCCTAAGAAAGAGAGATAGAGAGAGAAAGAGAGAGAAAGAGAGCGAGCGAGCGAGCGAACGAGCGCGAGAGAGCAAAGCATTGAGTTAATGGAGCTCTAATACGGTCCGCAGTGTGGTGTTGCACGAGTGTTGTATTGGGCCAATAACTCAATTTTAGAGTTCACTTTATCATGCAATAAGATTCTTGCTGTTGCTGTTCTGTTTCCTTACCGTTATTGTTGTTGTGGTTGCTTTTGCTTTTGCTTTTTATTGCATTAATTTTTTATTCTTTTCCTTATATGAGTTATACTCAAAGAAACCTCCAAAAATTCAAAAACATTCATAATAATAAATTTTACTTTAGTATATCGCGCTTACACACACACACAGACACACACACACACGTCCACACATCCACACGCATAATTAATTAACTCGTTAACGGCAGGAACATTTAGGAAACGGTAAAATAAATAAACATTAAATCAATTTTTAATACACTTGGGGTAGTGTTTAAGCGACGGTCACGGTAAACTTTGCTATTATGTTTTTCATAAAATATAATAAAACGGGACGGAGATTTATTTTATTGGCCATTCGTTTGACTTGCGACTCGCACGTTAAACATTTGAACTGAAAAATTCACATAAAACGAAAACGTTGCAAAGTTAGTTAGCTGCTGCTGTATTTACGATTGTTGTTCTTATTATTCTTCCAATTGTCGAGAAGTGCCACACCGAACTAGCCAACTAGCCAGCTCAACCATACCACCAGTTGGGTGCATTCAAATGCATTCGCAACACGCATCATACCGTAATACAAATAATCAAAATCAATGAATGCACTCCTCTTTTTTCTTCATGGGCAAGAGAACAGAACACACACGAGTTGAGTTGCATTTTAAGGTCTCAAACATGTTTGAGCGTTTTTACTATGATTTTCAAACTCAATTTTTGATTTGTGCGCTCTCTTCTCGCCCATTTAACTCATAGAAATGATAAAATTCATCATGTGGTGCTGGCTGGTGCTAGTGTTGTTGTAGTGAATGAAAAATCGCTTGAGTTAGTTTGATATAGTGTGGTGTTGTGTGTGTGCATCTCTCATTCAGCAAAGCGAAAAGTGTTTGGTTGTTGGTTATATTAGTAAGTGGTGGTGTTTGCTTTGGCCGCGAGTAGTAGTCGAAGAAAATTCATTATGGTGGAGGAGGGCAAAATTTTCTTATAGGCCAGGCAGCCAGCCCCTACGAACTGTTTAACATGTGTTTGCCTGGCTGTGTGAATAAATAAAACTTGCCTACACACATCTCTCGCTCTAAGTTGTTTTTTTTTTTTTTTTTTTTTTTTGGAAGCCAAAAAATTTTATAATTTTTTTTTTTTTTTTTTTTTTTTATTTTCTTTTTTAATTTTTTTTTTCAAAAAAAAAAAAAAAAAAAAACAATTTTCTTCTGTTTTGTAAATATTGTGGATACTATTCGGAATATGTATATATTTGTATCTATATATCTGTATATGTATATGTATCCATTTTCATATAACTAAGTTGATGTTCAAGTGTGTTTATGTTTTGTAACTTATTTCATTTAATATAAAATTTAATGCTATTTATGTTTTGAAATCGGGCTTGTATGGTTGCCTCTGTCAGTTACTTTTGCTAGTACATGAACAACTTTAAAATGTTTCAATTAAAAGTAAATAATTTGTTTGTTGTTGACATAGAAGTATAAATACGATAACGCGTCCCAGTATTGGCATCGACATCGACATTGAGTAATGTTTTATGATGAAATGTTTTATGAATTAATTTCTTTCATTTCATTATGAATAACTTAACGAATCTGAATTTTTCGGCGGCAAATCGCTCGACATGGGAACTAAAAGTTTTCTCAGAAAATAGTTGATGAGCAAATGACTCTAAGCCAAAAATTGCAAACAGAAAAAAGAATATTGGCTACGCATGTTTCGAAAAGCGGTGCTGTGTTCCATACAAAAGTGTGTACGGCCACCTCAATTACAACGAAATACGAACAAAACGACAAATGGATCTCGTCTTTAACAAAAAGTTTTTAGTTTACTTGAAGAAAGTTCCAGCCTTTGGACGACCTCTGGCAAAATTTCATGTCATTTCGATTTTCGCTTACCAGTTACTGGGGCTTGTGTTATTCTACCTTTGTTACCTTTAAAATAATAGAAAAAACAAAGTTCCGAGCGTCAAGTAACCACCGTTTTTGATGGGAAGTAATATCGTTTCAATTACGCCAGCCTGGCATGAATTACAATAGCTCCTCTCCATGGGAAACAGTGATTTACTATGGATTTCTTCTTTTCGTATCGACATCGCTGCCGGATGCAGTGGACGCATTTAGGAGGTCGTTGCATTAGAAACTTCAAAAAAAAAACATTGAAAATTATTATCGATACTTGGGAAGTGAAGTTCCAAAATGTAACAGTGACGTCGGTATGGTCTTTTCCAAGTAGATACCATGTTTGCTTGCAGTGGAACGAAACCCCGTGCCACAGTTCGCAGGTCAGTTAAAGGTCAGTTTTCTGAAGATCCTGCCCTCGATGCTTGTCCTCTATTTACAGATCTCAAAAGGATAGTTCAGAGAAAAATGTCTGGACCAAATGATATTCGCTTTCCAAAAACTAAAGTTTATTTTGAGAATCTCTACAAATCGTTTTGCAAAAATGCGTCGAAAAGTTCCAAAAGATTGTATGAAAGGTATCGCTCTTGAAGGTCGACTATGTCGATGAATAAAGTCGAATTAAAAAAACCGAATTATTGGGTTATTATGCGAACAACAACCAAATCAGCATCAGCCGAGTTTATTATCGTTGTTTTTTAAAATCAATTAAGTGAACAGCATTGGAATTAGTTGAGTGCCAAACTAATAGGAGACTTCTATAATATCGTTTTAGTTCGTTACTGGCACCTCTCAGGAAACAATTGAGGATAGGTTGGATTAGGTTTTCATTACCGATTCTAATATTTTGAATCTTTGCAGACAAACCATTTATTCTTCGATTCCTCAGTTGCCTTTCTTTATTAACTTTTAAGAGTCCGATTCCTTTTCTCCCTTTTGTTCACCCGCCCGCCAAATGGGCATATGTATGTAATTCCGTTTGCATTATCCTGAAATATGCATTAGGAGTTGTAAACATATATTTAGCCTTGGTAAACTTACTTCTTACTCAAATTAGTCCAGACAGTGTGTTCTTCCGCGCACGCGATTTTAACGATGTAAGCTAGAGTGTATATTATCGTCTTATTTGCAACATCTTGAAGTACGCATCAAAGTTCCAGAACTTATGTAAATTACTCGTAATCAAGTAAAATTCTGAATCGATTTAGCTACGTATTTTTGTGAGTTTACCCATATGTGCTTCTGTTAGTCTACTTATCCTATTTATGCAACCGCCCATTTGTTCATCATAGTGTCCCCAGGTCTGTCCCTAGCAGCGAAAGTTACTGTTAGTGATCTTAATCAGACTCGGTAAGTTCTCCCTTAGGCGAACAGCGCTTGCGTTTAATTTTCTACTCACCTTTATTGTGTATTTCTTCATTGTTTCGCTGATGTTTTCCTTGCATTAATCAATTCATTTGTCAAGCTATGCTGATTCCTCAACACCTTGGTATCGATTCTCTGAACTTTTTCTACCTCTGCTTGATGTTTTTCAAAAAACCTGCCAAAAAAAGGGAATAAAAAAAATCGCATTATTATTAAAGATTATATGCCTTCCTCTAATGAGTTGATTAAATCAGTTCTGTCGATTTTACTTTTGTGCTGCTTATAGTCAAAATCGCAACTAAATAAAGAAACTTCTTTCTTTATAAACTTTATTTCATGTTAAGATATGTAAACCTTTATGTGTAAGTTTATTTGATAAATAAATGTACAAAACAAAAAAAAAAAGAAGAAGAAGAAAAGATAGAAAGAAAGGCAAGAGAAAGAAGCGTGCAAGCAACTAAGTTTAAGAAGTTTATTTTGGCTGCCACTAAACAAACTTCTGAAAAAGTAAAAAATAGATAAATAAAACATACAACAAAGGAAGAAAACCACACACTAATCGTAAGGACATATATGAAGAAAAAACTGAAAAATGTTTATATTTCAAAAAGAGAATAAGTAAATGTGCATCCTACAGTTTGAAAAAG